AATACAATTTTACACCAAATAATAGAGCATATATTTAATTGGTTACAGCTGGTTTTATTATTTCAGTTGTGCTATGTTCAGCTCATTTCACCTCTCTGGATACAAAGTTAATGCCAAAGGTTAATGCCATGTATATTTCAGTACCTTCAGTACCTACAGAATCTTTAGATACACATATGACCATCCCCAATCAAACTCTGCAAGACAATGAAACCCTCAACAGCAATTAATTAAGGAAAATCTTACCCAGATGACTCAGATGGAAAGCCCCAGAAACCATCTTTATGCAGAAAATGTTTGTCCCAACTATGCTCAGTCTGTATTTACATAGTGATAAATGAAGTATCATGATGCACATGCTTGCCCTGCTTTGCAGCATTATTCAGGAAACGTACCCAACTTTGAATACCTTTAAGCACTGTGGAGATCTTTTTATATCCTCACAGTTCTATCTATCTTGATAGAGCAGTATTTTACAGGCAGTCTGTGCTATCTAATAGAAATCATTAAGAACATCAGAACACCCCCCTGAACAACAAAAATAAGGGAAACAAAACAAAACCTAGATGAGATGAGGGGTGGGAGAAAAAACCTGGCCAACAACACAAACAAACTATTGAAGACATTCATGTTTCAAAGATCTAAGATTATATGCTTCTTTCCCACCCAACTAACTCTGGCTACTCTCCTCATGAATGTGATCTAAAGCTTCATACATCTACCTCTCCAAGAACTTCCAGCCAGTCATAGCAGTTCTACATATGAGTAATTCCTACATGAAACAACAAAACCAGACTTGGTGCAGATTTTGGTCTCCAGGCCTTCACTGTCACATCTGACCCCATCTATATGCACACATTTCCTGTCCCAACTGCCAATTATTTATTCCTTCTAACTGTAACACCCATGGTTTGAAGATGGAAATAACATGGTCTAATTTACACTGCTTACATGTACTGAATTATGATTCCTGTCTGCAGCCAGCTGCGGGCAGCTTTGTAATGTACTACTGGTAGTAATTTGGTTTGGTTTTGCTTTAATTTGTAAATCACTCACAGGCTTATGTAGCAGATGGATGCTTTGCAAAAACTGATATATAAGCAAATAAAAGTTAAACACAGCTAGCACAACAATAACTCATGAGAAGAGTAGGTATGGATCCTGCAACAGGCTCCCACGTGTAAGTGGAAGGTGGTGTCACGCAGACCCTCACCTGGCGGCAGCACAGCCAGTTCTCTGCATGCACAGAGCAGAAAGACAAGCATCTAAATGCAGGAGTTCCCCGTATACTTTCAGGGAGTTACTCCACGCCTTAACTGAGTGAAGCTGGCACTTCGCTACAGGAGTTACCTCTTGATGAGATGCCATCACCCTTTGTTTCATTACATATAAGGATTTGCAAATAGGAGCAGCAGACCTTCGGCAGCTGCAGAGTCGCACTGATCAGAGAAACTGGCAGTTAAGGGTGTGATTGTCATGGGGTTGCCCTTGCTGTCATAGAAACAGCAGGGAGTCAGAAAGCTGCTCTTAAATGATCTTTGCCTACTCCTACTAGTTATGTCAAGCTTTAGCTAATTTTAAGCGAGAAGTTGTTAGGCTCTTTTCCCACAACAAAAGTAAAGAGAAATTGCACAGACGCCTGTATTCCAAAAACCCTCAGTACTTACGGATACTGTGTAGCATATGCTTCAATATTTACCTAGTGAATGCTTTTCATAAATTATTGTAAGCATGTATTATGCAAAACTAGATAAAGAGTGAATAGGAATGTCATTTTTTGATAAAACTTAAAATTAACAAAAAATCTAACCATTATCCCCTTTGAATTTAGCTATAACTAGCTAGGGATCTTACTGTATATGGTAATACTTGATTAGAGGTTCAAGTCCTTTCTTACATGTAATCGATTTCTTGTTTCTCACAATCTCTCATGCTAAATTTTCTCCCCAAAGCCATTAAATCATATCCACATTTAAATACTTTATGACAAAAGGTTCCAATTTATATTACTTTTTTCAGCTCATAACTGATTAAGGCAGGCCTCCTGTGACAATGTGTACAAGGAAGTCAGTGAGTACAGAGAGATACTACTGCATGCTTACAGCTCTAAGCCAGGCAGTAGACAAGTAAGCCCAGCCCGTACAGCATACACTGACGTTCTTCTTTCTTTGTCCATGCAGCCTTGCTTTGAGTTTTAATTTTACTTTATTTAATCTTGCTTGTATTTTGTTTGTGGAAGGTTTGGGTTTTTTGTTAGCGGGGGTTTTTTTGTGGCTTGTTTTTAATGCTATTTTACTGTGTGGGTATCTCTCTCAATTCAGATGGAGAAAATCTTTAAACCATATTAAATTGACCTCCAAGGATACAAGACATAACCTTGAATCTTTTTCTAACTCTAAACACACACTTGACTATGTTATTTGTATAGCTATGGATCCACATATACACATACTACGTTAGAACTGTTAAGTAATGTCATGGTTAATCACCCTGAACCTGCCTCCTCATTTTTGCTGACTGTATGTAGGGAAGCAATGTGTGTGTCAGGATATGTTAGGGTACATCTTGTCTTAAGCTTCTGGGTCAGATGGAACAAGTGATGGGTGTCAAGATGATTATCTTGGATGACACAAACAAGTTACAACAGAAGATGGACACAAAGATCAGTCACTCCAATTTTTAAGAGCTTAACCAGGGAGGACTGTGAAGGTGAGTCTTCATTTCCTGAAGGCCTATGGCCTTTACAAGTTTCAAACTTTCAATTCAGCTTTAAAACCTCCCAATTTAAAAATTGCCTATTTAGAAAATATGGACAGTCTACACAAGCCTGTACTATAAACATATACTGTAAACCTTGAACTTTTGTTATTAAATCTGTTGTTTTAAACTTTCATTTTGTGTGAGAAGCTCCTTTGACTCCTGTGCCTGCATTACCTGCAGATAATTTTATGTCCCTACACACGCACGGACAAATTTAGGTACATACACAAAACAGACTTTTTGCAGTTCTGTTTTATCTTACTGATTCCCTTCTTGGCATAGGTAAAATGTATACATGTATGACTGAAAACAGAGTGAGAGATGATTATACAAGAGTTGAGATTAATCAACGAATCATAGAATCAGCTGCATTGGAAGAGAAAGGTTAAAAAAAATAAGACTGCTTCTTAAGCAAGCCTTATGTTCTGGGAAGCACTCAAGGATTATTTTCAGGCACTATCGTGGTCACTTCTGAGAACAAGTCAAAGTTATATACAAAACCTCATTGATAGGCTTTATATTTTAGCAAGTTTATATATACACCCTTAATTGCCACTTTTGATGCATATCAGCTAAGTATCCATGTTACAAAATATTGTGTAGATACATGTTTGATTAAATAATTATGCAAACCAAGAGTTTATCACAAATCTTTCTTCTATGAGCCCTTCTTAAAGAGCTATATATTTCCTAGCTGATCTTGAAGAAACATTTTGAATGCAGCTGTAACAGTCGAAAAGCAGACTGAAATATATTAATTTGGTCATACTATAATTGCAAAGGATGGTTTTAATTAGGGTGTAGACAGAAAAAAAATCAACATTTGTTTCTAATAAAGAAAAGCCTGCATAATTTCCATGATTTAAGGTTTGTTGTTTTTGTTTGGCTGAATTTCCCAGAAGCATCTCTTTGCTTCTCAATTAAATTTCAAGCTGTTACGCTATGGGTAGTCCTACTACTCCTGGGGTTAAAAGTTACCAAAAGTGTGCAGCAGCACACCAACTCACATTAGTACAGACGGGGCAATGTGCAACACCTCTAGCTCGTTTTGCCTAACTCCCACTGACCTCAGTAGGACCACAGTAAGCTCTCTAGTTTTCCACAGAAATGTACACTCACACATACAATCCGATACACATTTTCCTGATAGGATCTTTTACCATGCTGAACCTAACTCACCTTTGCTCCTGTAAACATGAAGAAAAGGTGTGCATACTTGCTCACCATGATTCTACATGTGCAACTCATACAAGATTTAACACACTCAGTCTGCAAAGAGGCAGGGTTGAAATTTTTTCCCCTCAGCTGTCACTTCTCATCCACCTCTCACCAGACTGCCTTCTCCAACTGAAACCATATGAACAAATACATGTTTAAATGTCAGCAGTCCTTTCCTTGAGTTATACCGCTGCAGCAGGAGCAAACTGCAGCATTACCAAGTTCTCAGTCAATAATGGAAATCTTTATCTTTTGGCTTCACTGCAGCCTCCACTTCTGGAAAAATCAAAAGTGATAGATATTCTTCCCTTCTGACACCGCCTTTCCCTTATCTGTTTGACTTATGTTCTTTGCCCCAAAGACACAGGGTATGCATAAGGGAACCTGCATGATACAGCAGGCGCAGAGAAGGGGACTGTCTTTCCCTGAAGTACCACTGAGAATGACACTGGAAGTGTGTTTCAAATGAAGAGTAGGACGAAGGAGAGTATATATTCACATGCATGCTTAAATTTACTTTTGCTGCCTAGTTTGCAATGGTACTTGGTCTGATTGCTCCTTAGACTCCAGGTCTCCTTATGCAATCAGTGGCAAAAAGTTTTGCTTTTTGACCAAAAGGACCCCCAAAGACCTTTGCAAACTTTACTAACTTGGAGCAAATCTGGCTGCACTTTAGATCCAGAGTAACTACACTTTAAATCCAAAGTAATTCCACTGACCACGCTGGAAAGTAATTTTGACATAACTTAGCTCAGAAACAGGATGTGAAGCCAAATCTGTGTGAACATATATATATGGGGTATACCACCGCACAGCATCTGTGTAACAACACACAGGAGCACTGCTCAATGGTTTTGGAGTGCAAGTGAGGAACACCA